TAGAGTAGTAGAGTAGTAGTAGAGTAGTAGTAGTAGTAGACGAGTAGAGTAGAGTAGAGTAGAGAGTAGAGTAGAGAGTAGAGAGAGAGAGAGAGAGAGAGAGAGAGGGCGGGAGAGGCCATGGCTTCCAACCCCACCCTCAACACCTCCATCCACCCCTCCCTCTCCTCCGCCTCCAGAAAACCCAACCCCCTTTCTTTCCACCCCCACCTTCACCTCTCCACCACCCCTCGAAAGACCCTCTTCGCTCAATCCTCCGCAGCCCCATCTCTCTCCTCCCCCACCTTCGACCTCAAGACCTACTGGAAATCACTCATCTCTGAGATCGATGTCCAGCTCGATGCTGCCGTCCCCCTGCGCTTCCCTTCAGTAATCCATGAGGCCATGCGCCACACCGTGCTCTCGCCCGGGGCCAAGCGAGCATCCCCCATCCTCTGCATTGCCACATGCGAGCTCTTTGGCGCCCCGCGCTCCCTAGCCCTCCCCACTGCGTGCGCCCTCGAGATGATCCATGCGGCGTCCCTCATCCATGACGATCTCCCCTGCATGGACGACGCCCCTGCCCGCCGCGGCCGCCCGTCCAACCATGCCGCCTTCGGCATGGACATGGCCATCCTTGCTGGTGACGCCCTCTTCCCCCTCGCCTTCGCCCACATCACCAACGCATACTGCGCCGATCAGAATCACAACACCACCCTTTCATACACCTCGGTGCTTCGGCTGGTGACAGAGATCGCCAGCACCGTAGGGGCTCGCGGGATGGTCGAGGGACAGTTCCTGGACCTGCACAGCACCGCGCTCGGGGCCCTCGGGGGAGTGGCAGGAGATTATTTTGAGACTGATATCATGAAGGGTCGAGAGCTGGTGGAGAGGATTGTCGAGAAGAAATTCGGGGTGATGGCGGAGTGCTCGGCGGTTTGTGGCGCAATCGTGGGCGGGGCCAATGAGGAAGAAATGGAACATTTGAGGAGGTATGGGAGAGCGGTGGGGGTTTTGTACCAGGTGGTGGATGATATAAAGGAAGTGAGAGGAGGGAAAAATGAGGAGGGTGGAGAGAAGAAGAGGAGCAGGGCGAGTTATGCGAGGGCTTACGGGGTTCAGGGGGCGATGCAATTGGCGGAGGGTTTGAGAGAGCAGGCGAAGAGAGAGCTGCAGGGGTTTCATGGAGCTGGGGTTTTGCCTCTCTACAGCTTTGTGGATTACGCCATTAACAGGGACTTCGAGATCTGATGTTGTTGCTTTGATTTTGGGCTTGCGATTTTGCTGTTCCCAAGTTCAAACCTAAACAGGGCTTCGTAGTCGCTGAGCATTACCCGCGTTCTTCTTCTGTCTTAGCTTGTTCACGATTGATGGCTGCTTTTTTGCTCTTTTTGGAATATCTACGCCCGGATCAGGACCACCAAGGGTAGCTTCTTTACCTTTTGGGAAGGAGGTTCTACATTTTTTTTTTGTTTTTATTTTGGCGAGAAAATTATATACATATATTCTAAACTTCATGACCCTTCAAATTACAAAAGTCGAAGATTGAGAAAATTTTGTTAGTCTATTTTTCTTAAAAAAATTATTTTTTTGGGTAAATTTATAAATATTACTATGAGACACGGGTATTTTCGTCATCTCCAAAATAAATAAAATTGAAATTTTAATTAAAAGACAATGACACTCTTCAAATAAAGTTTCAAGACATTAACTTCTAAAATACCATTATATTTTTGTGAAAATTTCAAAATTTTTTTTGCTTAATAGTAAAGTTATATATTTAAATACTTTTTAATAAAAAAATAATTAGTGTTTTAATAAATACACCCGTCACAACCCTTTTTAACTTGAACTTTTGTATTTTGAGGGGTTGTTAATTCTATACAAAC